AGAGGTCTCCCAATCTCCTTGCATTTAGAACAATATTAGCTTTAAAAGATTCCCAAAATATGCAGCTTGTAGGCTTAGGCTTCTGGCTTTTTTATTTATTTTTTTTTTAAATTACAAAATGAGCATGAGTTTTTAAAGCAAGGAAATATGATATGCTGCAAGTTGATTACTAGATGAAACTGTTAGGCACTAGCTTGGATAAACCAGGGATGGGTTCTTGATAATATTCAGACTCTGCTGGTCAAACTGCCAATGCTCCCGGTCAGTGGGTGGAGTGCACTGACTGCAGGAGATGACATTGTTTTCAGAGCACACTGTGTTCCCACAGGTTGGCGTATCCATCTCCTGGGGGTTGAACCAGCTCTCAGTGGGTCTTCTAACCCATGCAGTGGCCCAATTTCCAAGCAACCTGGGATGAGAGCAATCCTCTGAATACGTCAGTCAGTTCTCTGTGCTGAATATTGGATTCAACAGAGGATTTACCTCCATGTTTCCAGCACTGATGTTTTAATTCTGAAATTATCATATTCTGTTTCTTCCTATAATTAAATGAGTTTTCACATCACACGGCACAGGGGCACCTTGCTCTCCATTATCACAAAGGACTTTTCATACTGTGCCAGTTACCTGCGGTAAACTGGGAGTGCCAAGGTTTCCAAAACAGGCTTGAAGCAGAAATAAAATTTTATACCCAAGGAAGAATTACTACATGCCACATAACATTTCAAGCTAAAATAATGTTTCATCAAAGATTTAGGGAACAAGGATTAGTTTTTTAAACCTAGCTGTGTCAATGAATCTTATATCCCATATACTGCTATACATTATGTTCTAAGCTACATTTCACTATGCTAACTCAAGGCTGTTCTAGTGAGGTTGCTTCAAAGAAAAATCTCTCAACTGAGAGGACATTTCACTGACCTAGTTTAAAAGAACTTGTGAAACCCACCAGCACCAGGATGCCCAGGAAGGTGGCCAAAGAATATTACACTGCCTGTGAAGTACTTCATGAATTTTAGAATGGTAAATTATGGAGTTCAATATTGAGAAAATTCGGTGCCTCAAATATATACAGAAGGATTTACCTTAAAGAGAAAAACCAGAAGAATTTGTCTCAGCTGTAAGTGGATGGCATTTGAAGTATCCAGACTACGCTTTATTATTCCCAGAGAAGCGAAAACACCTTTATAAATCATTTTTGACTAAATCCAGGATTTTTGAAGGACTCCAAGAAAGTTAGGACTTGTATCCAATAAACTTCAATAGAGGCTGGGTACCTAACTACCTTGGAGCACTTGGAAAATCCTTGTTTCTCTGAACAGATGGATTCTGCTCAGCTCTAACAAAATACATGTATTTCCTAGCTCTGAATACTCTGTAGGATTTCAACCCTAAAAATGTCCAAATGCAAGGGTAGGTGCTTAATCTGATTGCCTACTTAGTTTAATAGGACTCTGCCTACGGCATTAAATAACAGTACCTTTGTGTAACCCACTAGTTACGGGTCCCTGTTGTGTGGCATCCACAGAGGTGGGGAATGATAAAACCCACTACGCAGCACTGCTCTTCCCCTTCCACTGCAGCAGCTCATGCTTTTAACTCCAGACATCTCTGGGGCAGGCTAGCCAAGGTAGTCATCATCACATTTACACTTATAAACTACCTTTTATCTGATGATCTCAAAGCACTTCACATCCATTAATTAAACTCTAAGGGCTTGGTAATACGTTGAGATGAACATTTTCTGCTGTCCCTCAGGTAAAATAGCAGTTTCGCTTAAACATGAGCAGCAATTAGCTTTAAACCTAGAGAATCTGTTTTTATGAGCAATCACGGATGTGTATGTAGTGAAAAGTATGATTATGTGGGATGGACTCGGTTTGTGCTGAAATGGGAAAGGCGATTACTTTTTCATTCAAAACACCTTTACTCTAATGTATTACTCTAATGTATTTCTTTCTTAAACTGAAGCGAGCATATTGGGCTATTTATTCCCAAATAGAATTCCAGCAATTGGGGTTACTGAGGATTTAGTCCCTGAAATGTATTCTCTTCCTTATATCTGTTTCAGAAAATCCTGTTCCATGTGTGATCAGAATCATAATTAAAGGACTTTTCTGTATATGTAATGCTTCCAAGTTGACACATCTATTTGGGCAATGTAAAATCAATCCAATAGCAGTAAAACAACAGGAGTCAACTTTTGGGTTTTTTTCCGAAGCGATGTTAGTTCACACCTTACAAACCAGCTCTAATTTCCATTTTCAGGGAATATTGTCTTTTACTTAGAAATCCAACTTGAGGTGAGGGACCAGTGAATAGAAACTCGTAAAGGCAGAATTTCTCCTCCATGGGAAGCATCAGTATTTTAGAAAAAAAAGAAGGTGCATCTATAAAGAGAAGGAATAGTTTCACACTTTCTGTCTGCATAAAAAATAACAGAAATCATATCTTAAAAATAAGAAGTCATATTTGAAAGCATAATTAAAGGGTTAACATGTCCCAAGCCCCAAAATGTCATCATCCCTTCTCTGTGCCTCAGTATCCCCTTCTCTAAAGCGCACATCATGACAGCAGCCTGTTTGGTGAAACACTTCTGCACCGGTAAATAGCATCACCCAGAAGCTTACTTACTGTTATTGAAAGTGAACACGAGTAATTGTTTCAGATAAAATGACAGACTTCCATAGAAACACTACATCCTTCCAGTCTGAATCCTGCAACACCAAAAAGATATTCCCTTCCCATCCCAAGACCACACTTAGACCAGCTGTGACCTGTTACGCCTGAACGCTGTAGCAGTGATAGTCATTTCTGCTGCTCTACGTGCATTTCTTCTGTTTGAATGCATAGCATTTTTCTTAATTATTTCTGACTTTTCATCCGGCATGCTATAAGCTTCTTATGAAGAAAAGAAAATAAATAATTCAACTTCCACTTATTCCAGGAGGAGACTGGCTGTTCCAATCTATCCTTAGAGAATAAACAAGCTAGCTGTTCACATACAGCTTATTAGAGTACAACAAATAAACATGTGCATGATATTGCAATGACAATAAGGATGGGGAGTACCAGAACTGGCATTTTGGGCTGGAATCTGAGGCTGGGACCATTTCCCGTTCCGTCCCAGGGGCTTCAAAGTTTGGTTACACTCTTGCCTGTAAGCTGCAAGCCAGAGAATGGTAACAAATGTCAGTGCAATAAGGAGTGAAGAAGGAAGGACGGAGCCAGAGAGTGTGTCAGAGCGTGGATTAATTCCCCATCGCGAGAGCGCTCCAGGCTGCTTTGTGCAGTGCATTCAGAGAGGAGCTCTCAAATGAATTAAAAGTCTAATCAAGAAACGTGGTTCCTTGGCCGCGCAGGAGCAGGACTGTCTGTTTAGGGTTTAGGGTAGTCTGTTGGAAATATCAATGTGTGCATGCTGGGAAAGCTTCTGCACCTGCTTTAGAGAAACCTTTCAAAACACGTATTACTTGCTGCCTCCAGGAACGTTCCTGTTTTACTTGGAACAAGTGTAGGATGAAACATTTGAAGCAGTTTTGGACCAAAATCTAAGTTTTTCCCTTTCATGGGGTCTGTGAATCTCTCATGCTTTCTGTCTGGCTTAATGAATCCCAAATTTTAGCTCTTACTGAAGGATGATCGGGGCCTCACCCTGGAGGAGCCCAACAGCTGATGGATCAGGTGAAAGCCAAGAAATGAGCTAGGTAAGGGGTCTTACATCTGGGTCCTGGCACACTGACTACAGTGGAGTAATACGAGAATCATTTCCCCAACAAAGTCCCTGAAGCCTCAGTGCATCAACACCCGGCCACCGCCTCGGGAGCCCTGCAGAGCTGTGGAGCATCAGCCTTGCAAGGAGGTTGGGTTTGGCACCGAAGGCTGCAGCTCACTTCCAACACCACTGGAGCAACGGGGGCTGTTGTCACTTGAAAATGTTTCTGTAAAACATAAAAACTTGGGACTCTTTCCTCTGAAACAGTAAGATATGCAATTGGATTGAAGTTGACTTCATCCACAGGAGATATCTGACACTCTTGCTTGATGAGAGAGAGATGCATGTGTCACCAGAAAGAAAGATAGAGTGTCTGAAGAAGAGGAAACCATCCGTCTTACCACCCTGACCTTTCTGATAGCCAGCTAGTAGTATGGGCAGAGCTCCACAGATCACTTCAAAGTTTATTGCTCTGTTAGTCCTCTTTGATTGACACATCACCTAATGGATAATAAATTACTGCCCTCCACTCGGATTGGGGGCTGCCTGCGTGTTGCTAACGCTGATTTTTCAGAACCTACTATCACTCACTCTCTGCTTTTGCAATTTAAAGGGATGCAAGTTCCGAGACAATAAATAAATACAGAGGAGTGGAATTTCAAGGGTACGTGTGGGGAATTAACAGCACGGCACTCTCTGCATTTCAGGGTGACACAGGCTCCTGCATCCCTCTCGTCTTAAGAAATCTTGCCGCTTTACTTTTGTGCCTGCTGCAAACCAGGTTGCCTCTCCCCTGGGCATCTGCGGGTGGGAGAGCAGAGCCCCTTTGTTTGGTCCCTCTGCAGCTCGGGGGGGCACACCAGGGAGCTGGGGGGGCTCGGGGGATGCCTGCCTCGGGTGCCTGCCTGAACCAGAGGAGAAACTGTGCTCTGCAGAGAGATGAATCTGAAGAAACTCCAACCGAAACCAGTGGTCCGTCTGCCAGGATGGGCCCGACTCTCAGCTTTTACTTAATTCCAGTCACAGTGACTTGCTTTGGCACGCGAGCAAGTGCGGAGCAGAGACTGGATAAAGACCTCAGGGTTTTGCCCATAAAAAGAAAATGAAGTGGAAACGCCTCTCTTGAGGTTGGAGAGGCCAGGATTTCTTATGGCTGCTCTGGGTCTCTGAGAGCACTGCGAGTCAGCGATGCTTTCCTCAAGAGCCACTGTCATCCCCATCGCTTCCATTAGTTCTGCCACGTGTCAGGATGCAATTAAAAAAAATGTCCCTCTTTCACGTTCACCTTTGGGACCGGTGGGCTCGTCACCAGCGCTGGGGATGAGGCGCTCCAGCTGCTGGTCCCACCAGTACCTGCAGTGCGAATACCAGAACGTGTAAGCTAGCAAAAGCAACAGAAAAGCTCAATTCTCACATGCGCCAGATTTTCCAAAGAGCTCTGTGCAGATGGAGCAGGGCATGTATAAATGCATCAAAAAAACGTACTCCCTAATCTTAGGGCACTGCTTTCCTGAACGATTTGGGGGGTGGAAAGGCTCTGACATTAAGCAGTGTAATTTTGCACAGCTTTCCTGAAGGCAAAGGACATTGGTCCTGCGCCAGCGATCTCCCTGAGGCACTGTGGTCAGGGTGCTGTTGCTCAATGTTCATACACGTCTGTGACAGCTTTAGCTAAGATTGTGGAGAAGGGAGCACCCGCGTAAATCTAAGGAATTTGGGGGTCAAAAGAAAAGGTGTTTCTCCCCAAAAAGAAACCAATACACTCATCTGGATCCAAACTGGTGCTGGTGGAGCTACACCATTACCCCTGGGCACACGCAGCTTCTCTCAATCTCCCTGTCCTCACATTTCCTAGGGTCCCATGAAACTGTAAATTTTTGGGACAGACAACATCTTTCATCACTTTTGTGAACGTTTGCATCTCAGAAAATGTATCCCAGTGGGGTTTGGTGCATGTCTGCATCTCCAGCCCCTGCGACACTGCACATACTCAGAGCTTTCATTATACACACTCCTTTTCCCTCTTGACTGAGGGAACAGTGAGACCTTCAGAATGTGTTTATTTATGAAATCTGTGTTACTTGTTCCTATAACATTTATTTTTCTCTCTCTTTGGAAAGCACAGAAGTTCAACATGGGCCCTCAGAAACACAGCTGCTGTTATTTTGCAGCTGGGTGCTACTATGTGGAGAGCATCTGAAAAGGGAGTCTTGAACATAGGAAGCAAGTTTACTTCACTATGGAGGGTAATACATAAAAAACTCGAGATGTAGATTTCAATCTGATGTTTTTAATTTGAATATTTCATCCTGCAGCCTTTAAAGTTGAATGGAGGATTGGAAAAGCCCATCTATGTACAGACCCGTGGAGGACAAGACAGTATTTACTCTTGTTTCTTTCTCAAACGACAGTAAGCCTGGTGGGTTACAACACAGCCCATCTTTATATCCTCAGTTTAGGAATGTGCTAGGGCTGTTCAAGAGAGCATTTATGTACACCAGTGAACTCTAAGTGTAAGCTGAATGTTTAGCACATATTTCAGTGCTATCTTCACAGCATGGTCTATGGGCAACGTGTTCCCTTTATACACACTTCTCACATTTCTGCGTCCTTATATTAAAGCTTATGGCTTAAAAAGAAGGGAACTATGTTACTTCATTTACCGGTATCAAATATTTTTACTGAGGGTAACTGCTTATCCAGAGTTTGCTTATATAACAATTAAAAACAGTATTCCATTAAAATTATTTAAAAAATCTTTCTATAGCTCTGCTCTCTCCACTTCTCCTCTAATGTTCAGAATCACATAAAATAGTAATGAGCATACACAGCCTTCTGCTGTTTTCATAGACAAGGCAGTAAAAGAGACAGTTGCTGTTCCCTTGAGTGCTAGCCCACGAATCAGAAAGTCTAATCAGCCACAGTGTCTGACACACTAGATAGCCCCTCTATTTCATTACTGCTATATTAAAATCTTTCCTATTTGAATTCTGTATCCTCTATTAAAAGGAGAGAGAGAGGTAGAAGAGATAATCAAAAGAGGACAAGAAGACAGGACTTAAAGAAAAGTAACTCTCTCTATAACTCCTGCAGCCTGATGCTTTGGAATTCTGTTTCCAGTGCAAAAGCTGGCCTGAAAACACCCGGAGCAAGTGCGGGGCATGCCGTCATACACCCCGGGGGCTGTTTTGTAAGAGTTCAGCTTTAGCGGCCTGGGTAAGGCCCAACGCTGGCTTGCGGTTCTGCCTTGCGGCAAACGCTCCGGGAAAAGCAAATAAGCAATGGTGTTTTTCACTGCTTGCCCATACCACTTGCCTACGGTGTCTGTGCCTGCAGTTGAATATTCAGGGTTCCCTTGGTTAGGCCCGAGGATGGCAGAGGGGCCGGTGTTCTGAAGCTGCACCGTGGGTCAACGCAAAGGCAGTTTTCCCGGGAGAATCTGCTGCTGGGTGTTCCCAGCCTCCGACTGTGCACAGCGTAGAAGACGCAGCATCGCTGCAGCCTTGCCAGCAGCATGGCTGGTGTGCCGGCTTCACAAAAGCAACATCTTCTGACACTCTCAGAAATAGGAGGTGCCTCTCTGTGTACATCAGTCCGCACTGATCTGTAAATTAGGCTGTGACAAAACGAATTAGATTTAATTTTGCATAGCTGTCCAATGGCATTACTACATGTGCTATTACAGAATTCTTTGAATCGATAATTTGACTGTGCATGCTTGTATCTGATGAAATTGAGAAAGATCAGTTCGATACCTGTAGGCAGTTGCTAAGAGTGGCACAGATGTATACAATATCGAACAATAGATGTCACTGTTATGCCAACGGAAACCGGTTATATTTACAGTTATTGGTAGTTTCAACCTCCATTGCACAAAGCTGCTAAGTCACAAGTGTAAAGCCAGGGCACTCACTGACGCACGATACTTTTTAAAACATGAATCCTACACCTCCTTGTGCTTTTTCAACTATAAAATTACACACAAAATTTGAAAATATTTTAAACAACAGTTTAAACAAAATAAAACCCGATATTTTCCTACGGCTTTATGCAAGCTGGTCACACAAGAACAGCATCACTACTCAAAAGTTACCATGAGTGGGAGAAAAAGAAAATGGGATGTGGGAATCTTAACTAAGGAAATATCAGAGACAGAAACATTTCTGCTTAGACTTCTTTCTTTGAAAGGGGAGGATGGTGTATTTACTCTCCTCTGCTTGGAATGATTACGTGGAGCATGGCACGTATGAACTCACCAAAAGGGAAGGATCGGGTTATAACCAGCAGTTTGCTGAGCGACAAGAAATGGGGGAGAGGCATCAGAGGCAACATCCCACAGCAGCAAAAAACAGGGAGAGTCTGCAGAAGGAGGGAATAAGTACCCAAGCAAAGTTTGAGCTCTAATGTCCTGTTTCAAGAGGTTCTTAACACTGCTCTAAATTAGTATAAAATTATGAAAATCAGACAGGAAACTCCCGACCAGCATGGTAACCAGCATGGTGCCCTTTTGCTCAGCTGTAAGCAAGACCTGTGCAGAGTCAGCTCTCAGGTGATGAGCAAAACCAGTGAAGTCTAACAAATGAGAATGAGTTTAAACATCAATTTCAGGATGAGACACAGAGAAAACTAGGAAGGTTATTACAGAGCAGCTGTTCACCAGCTACTGTTCTATTCCTCAATATCAAGAACACAGTACACAGAGAAAATGTCTGTGCTCGGTGGTCGTAGGAGCCTCTTTGTAGCTATAAAACAAGAAACAAAATGGTTCTTTGAGACCAACTGATTTAGCCAGAAAAAGTGGACAAGCGTTTTGGCTCATGGTGCTGTCATCAACCTGGCCCTGGTTAGTCACGAGAAGGAGGAGATTCCTGATTTTTTTTTGCTTCTTACCATGAGCTTGGCAAACATAAAGGAATTCAAGCAAAACCTAAGTCTATAAAAATAAGAAAAGCCACATGGTAGACTTTCATCAAACCTCTTTCATCCACAATGTGAAGGAGACCAATTATCATTTCTGGATAGAAGCACCTGTACTGCACACACAAACAGGTGTTCCTTCAAACAAAATGGCCAATGTTATGTACATAAATGGCTAACCTTTACCATGCGGAGTCCATCCCACCTATTCAGTAACCCCCCCAGTATTACCATGAGGAGGGCAGCTCCCTCCACCAGTCCAGTGCCTGAGGAAATCCCCAGGAATTTCCTTTCTAGTTTGTAGACAAGCCTGTGCTTGCTATTTGGACAGCACTGTGATGCTGATTTAAACATTACTGTGCTTATTCACCTAACTACTGCAAGTTTTGCGTGGCAAACAGGATCGTTACATCTCAGCTTCCCTCTTCTCTGTTGTGTTTTTTCCTCTTCACTTGAAATCATCTCCTTGCATGTCACATCCCAGTCTTTTGCTGAGGAAATGATGAGGAGGTCACAAGAAGAAGAATGACTCAATATGAAAGTGGAAACAAGAGAAAACTTCAAGGAACAATCTGAGGAATAACAACATTGTTTCCATCACATATTTCTTGTAGCGTTAAAGAAGCGAGAAAGGCAGAATACCAGGTGAATTGCTTCAAAACATAATGTCTTTCAACATACTCTATGAGGTATTACCTGCTTCTGTAGAAAAATAAAAGGAAAATGATACAAATACCTCATAAATCATAGCCGAGGTGCATATTTCAAATATTCACGGGATTCTGGTACAAAGTAGGAAATGGTATAGTTTGCAATGTAACGTTGCCTGATAGCACAGATGTATTTCAGCCACAGGCTTTCACCTTGGGAAATGTAGGTATAAAAATTCAGTATTTTACATGTACCAAGATAAAGCATGCTCCTCAACACAATGACATCGAAAATGCAAAATCTTAGCATCTGTGAAAGTACAAATATTGATGTGCATCACTAAACATATGTTGCTGACTAAAGCTATTATTAGCGACAACAGTCATTCTCTACTCTGGAAAATCCCAGTTGCCTTGGGCTTTGTCTGAGCAGAAAACCAGAGAAAAATCTGAATAAAACCTTGTGAGTTAGCCTCATGATAACAGGCTGAGCTGTAATACTCAGATAATAACAAAGCCAAAAATACAAGGCTAAATTCAGCCATGCTTACTTGATGCTAAATTGAGCAAATTGCACACCGCCTGCTGCAGAGGCAGGACCAGAAGGCGTCGTCTTCTCCCAGATTGGCTTTGCAGGGTACAGATTATTTTGATCCATTCATTGCAGCTCCCATTTTGACTGACACCTCAGAACTGAACTGGAAACTCCAGATGCGACAGTTTGGGAAGCTGGGGGCTCCCGCTGGGGTTGAACCTCCCTCGTTTCCTACCACACAAGGCACAGAGCCAGCAGATCTCGCGCCTGCCCCTTTCACCCCACTCTCCCCTGCCACCCTCCTGCCCAGCACGGGGCCACCTCCTGCCCTAGCTGCTGCCTGCCCCAGGGCAGCTCTCCTAAAACCGCATCAAGCTGTGGGTTTTCTGGGCTCTGAGCTCAGCCCTCTCTAGTGTGCCTTTCTATCATTCCGCTGGACTTCCACATAAACGGAGCCAAATGATGATGTCTTCAAATGGGGAACGGACCACCTGAGTATCAGAGGTACCGAGGAAAGGGGTCACCTTGGCACAGGCCTGATCACAAGGGCCTGAGCCAGGAAGGTTTAAGCAGAGTTGTACTGCCAACGTCAAGCTTTTAAACGTCCTATTTCTGGTTCCAAAATCCATGAGATAACCTTTCTGTAAATATTTTTTTCAGCGTGGTCTTGCAGCTGAGAAGCATTTAGATTGTACCTTTCCAAGGTTTTTTCTGCTACCAAGAAGTCTAAAAGATTAATTAACTCCCCAATAAGTATGATTCTGACAATTAAATAATTCTGGAAGGTACAAGAGGAATGGAAACCCCCTGTATTTTGTGAGACATGAGAGCTGGCAATGCTGCAGAAATTTTGAAAGGAAAGATTGTACGATACACACACCAATATCCCTGCTGACTGCCTGGTATGGAGAGTCACAGCAAGAAAGGCAGCTGGAACGGGAGGAGTAGATGGGAAGGCAAGCGGATGTGAGAGCAGAGGGCAAAGCAATTGAATGTTTCAAAAAACTAGTGGATGAATCAATTTTGTTTTTCAGCTGATGCACATGTTATGGGTTGAACTGTCCTGAGTGTTGCAGGGAGCGTATGGGCATTCAGTTACTTACTTACTGAGGGAATTCAAACCTTTGAGGACTGCACAGGGAGAACATGCAAGAGTTGGAACAAGTGATGAGGAAACCTAACACGGAGTTCAGCAGAGGCTGAATCAAGCTACGGAGGCACCACAGCACTGATCTGGGAAAATTAACCGGCAAACACTAGAGAAATGTGGAAAATAAGAATATATTTTACAGTCAAAGCTGTTCCAAAAATTAGACCAACATATATATGTCTGTCTATTTATCTATCGATCTATATAGTTGCAATGGGAACTACTGTCACTTGTTGACAGAGGAGGTTCTGAATGTGTATGTTCAGTCCTTAAGAAACAGTGAAGCCAAGCAGAGGCATATGAAATATGGGGGGGTGTAGAGCTCCTAGATATGTCTCACTAGCAATGAAATCTCTCCTAGAGATGACACAGGTAGGAAGAGAATAGATTTAAATCCTTGCAGCATAACAGCATAGCAGTATTTATGGTTAATTATCAGGCGTTAAATGATTAGCCAGGTTCCGTTTAACAACAGCTGCTTTTCTTGTTCATTCAGCTACAATCAGTTATAAACAAAAATGCATCCCATAAAAGTGTTTCAGTTGTTTAACAGGCTAAGTAAATGGCCAACCTCACTATAATTAATTACAGATCTTTATTTAATTGAACATTCATCGTCACCAGAGCAATGCAAATCTAAACCCCAGCACACGTACCTAATTCTGGTTTCATTATAAAGGCATGCCTTCGCTAGTAAAAATTAAGAGTGAATTTTCATTGAATCTGCGAACCTTTATGGGTTGAGCTCTGTGGACACATATAAACATGCTTAAACTACATTTCCAAACCCAAAATACAAAGGGGCAGCCTGTGGCTGCAACCTCATGGAAACCAGGCAGAAGTCATGCTTAAAAAGTCCAGGTAATAGGAAGAAGGGGTTCTGTACTCTCTACATACACAGGATTTATATTTAGAAAGCAAAGGAAAATACGTAAATGAAGATCATCAAAGAAGCAAAAGAGGTTAATCAACACTTCATGTAACCACAAAAATGGAGAGAAAGGCTAATTTAGTTAATTCCTTTTGCATCAGCTTTAGAAAGCAGTAGGGTGTGCTCATGAGTCACCTTCTGAGCTTAGTTGAAAACACCCTCCTGAATGTGTGAGTATAAACAAAGAGAGGATAAAATTCATTTTCCTACTCACTGCAAACCATCCCACCCTGGTATGACTTTGTTCCAGCTCATTAAAACTGTGTTTCTAGAACTGTGCCCAACTCAATTAATTCATAGCCCTTTTTGCCAAAACAGTTCATGCTCATGATTTACAGCTAATGCACAGCCACAGCATGTGAACAGCGGGAACTTAGACCTGGAGTAAGGACCACAGGCAGCCAAAC